AATACATCTCTTCTTTTTCTTCAGGAGGCGGCATTCAGCAGCCGCAGGAACCTCTGGGATTGTTCTTCGACGTGGTACACATCGTCTTCGCGAACATCACCGTCAGCCACAAAATTATCACGGCGAGGACTGTAACACGTCCACGTCCACGACCAGAGGTGATGAGGCATAGCCACCATGTCCGAAACGTCCGGCAAAGTTGCGCACCGGAGTAGTGTTGTTGCGTTGCTGTCCGTCTGGTTGTCCCGTTGGTATTCTCGAGGAGACTACGGTTGTACGTCCAGGTAGGAGCACGACTCAATCCTCCACGACGGAAACGTGGGAAGGCGGATAGTAACAGCTCGAGGTCACGTCTTGTCCATAGGTACGACGATAGCCAGAAGAGCGTCCACTCCTTCATGTCCGCGGCCTGAACACCACGTGAAAACCCGCGACCACCACGGCCACGAGAACCTTGTTGCGAGCGTTGTATTCTTTTCTTGACTGGCAAAGAAGCGAACCATTTGCACTGACCAATTACCGTAATGTCAGAGCGGAATCGGCAAACTTGTCTTTCCACTGGGGAAGCATCATGTTTAAAACATCATCTTGAGAGCAGGAGCATCAAAAGGTTTCGCATTGTTTGCGCCAGGAAACTTCGCCATCAAGGTGTTGATGTCTCCAACCGAGACCACAAGTCTTGCAATCGAGCTTGAAGGGCTTTTTCGCAGTCTGCAGGTATCGTCTGATCAGCGAGATCCGTGTTTCAACGAACTTCGCAATGAACGAATTAATACAGCATCGAAGTCAGCAACAGCTGCACCAGGACGCGCTGCTCGAATCACGTTCCACTTGTCTCGAGCAGAGCTTTGAAGACACTTGACAAAGAAGTTAGCCCTCAATGTACCCGTTTCCAAATTCAAGGCTGAGTTGCCGTCACTTGATCGAACTCCTTGATGACCGAAGGACTTGTTCCGGTTCTTGTTCGTCTGCCATTACAATCATGTCATGCTTAAGCTTGACGTTGTTACCAGCATGTTGCCAAGAACGGAACAACTCGTAGTAGCGACCTCCGCCGATTGTACTCAGAGACCAAGGGAATGACGGATTCTTGCCCGACTGACAAGCGTCGTCATGGTGAGATAATAAACCTAAAGGTAAATAACAACAACAGAACTTGCGGCTTTGTGTTAGTAAGAGTCGCAAGTAATGATAAATGAAAGAAAAAGGAGTAACTTCGTTTTGAGTTACACCTTGAGTTACCGTTGTTAATAGAAATCGAGTGAATTTTCGAAATTGTTTGACAATGGCCAAACGCCTAGTATACGGCTGCGTAGAATGTACGCAGGAAGTTTCTTTTGCTTGATGTGCAAATTCCAACCGAACTTGCTTCTGAATTCAGAGTGAACTACGATCGGAATATTGTGAGATTAGACTTAAACCTAGCGTTAAAGCGCCACGTCATAGACGTGCGTATGTCATCAAGTCAAGTCAAGTCAAGTCGAGTAAGTCATCACAAGTTGGCAACTCCAAGCATAATGGAAGAAGATCAAAGGCTCTATGCGACACCACTGAAACCACCATCCTTCATAGTGAGTCAGACAGTAGTCTACATCACCTTGGAATTTGGAAGATTTCCCGTGAAGGGGTTTCAGGAAGACAACAGAAAATTTATCTTTATAAAACAAGTTACATGTAGTTCTTTTATAAGTAAGTGTGCGAGTTGGGTGAGCTGTTGGGTGTGAAGGAAGAAAAAAAACTCTTGGCTGTTGGGTGTACATGAGTTGGTGTTGTTGAAGGTGAGTTTCCCCACAATGGAAAGTGCTTTCTAGTGCAGAGCAGTGCAAGAGCATTGCAAGATATTGCACTTGCACCAAAATTTGTATGCTGCATCACCACGTGCACCGACCACCCCCTGAAAAAGGTGCATTACATACATCATACTCAGCAAGTACATGTACATGACATTGTACATGTAGACTACTTTCTCGGTGGCACCACCGAGCTAAATGGATAAAGGTTTTTATCGAATATAATGGTCACTCTAAATCCAATTATTAAATCCTTGAACACTTCAAAACCATTAATCATAATTATTGGTGGCACCACTTTCCCAAAGAGGGCTCAGAGTTTGTAAACCGTGCCTCTCACATTTTCAAGCGATTTACACCGTCGAGTCATTGAATTCGTTCGTTGATCCGCAGGATAGGAAGCGTCAGAGAGACCTCATCGTTCGAAGAGCATCCAAGGCTTCTAGGCAACACCGCTCAAACCAGTAACATGAGGATCATATAAATTATCGTCAGATCAGCGGTCAATAAGCTGTAAGAGTTTTAGTGATGGCTGGTGGCACCATGGAACTATGGCATTGGCTGGGCGGGCTCTGAGTAGACCTCTTTTGGGCTGCTTTGAGGCACCAGAGCAAACTCCAAAAGCAACTCGAAGGATACACCGACGAAGGCGTGATTCGATTCTCTGTGATGGTGCCGCTTTATCGTACATGTACACCTGTTACCGCTATCTGTATTCCCCGACACAGGGCCTGCGTCCATCGCGCAAGTACTACCGGTAGGTTGCAACTTCCGCCAACCAATCATCTTGAATCTGCGCCAGTTCACCCTTCTCCGTCTTCACTCCTGCATGGAAGAATGTGGTCATGCCAAAGATAGGTGGAGTTGGCCTTTTCAGGTTTCAGGATGCGTGCCAGAACGTCCGGAACCAGGCTCATTCATTAGTAATTAGCTGGTTTGAGTCACAGTCGATTTTCGCCACTGAATTGCCTTGTTGGCTGGTGGTATGCATGCAACAAGCAACAAAACGTGCACTCCAGCCACCGTGCTAGCTAGTAGCTAGCTAGCTACTAGCTAGCAACCAGCCATAATAAGCATGATGAAAACTCTACTACTATTGACATGGATGACGGCCACTGCCAAAGCTCAGCCTCAGACTGGAATCCCAGTCCACGACATCGGGTTTCGCAGGGCTCCTGCAGATAAGAATGGTGCTGATAATATCAGTGCTGCCACCACCTGGAACAACACTGATGTGGCAAGACACATTTGGCCCTACACACCCTACCGTGAAGCCAAGCTCAGGGGAAAGCTTGAGCGTCAGCTGGATAGTTCTTGTGATGCCATTGAAGTGTTCGATATCGGGGATTTGAATGAGCAGAGCTCTATCTTTGATTGCCCAGTGGGCTGAATGCTATAGATCTCATCAAGGACCAATTGGAGGAAGCCAATTCTGAATTTGCCAGCAACCTCTTTAGCATTTTGATTCCTCAAGTGGTTCGAGCAGGTGGTGCGGATCTTTCTCAACTTGGGGAAGAATCTGGAGTGGGAGCTTGTGAACCCATTGACTTTGTTGATGTGGGGGATGTGTTGGCGTTCGGGATAGAACAGGAGACTACAGGTATTGGATCCTAGGTCGTTCTCAAGCACTTCTCGTCCGAATCCATTTTTTTACAGATTTGCCTTTATTTTATTATTTACCAGGTATTGGATTCTGTGCAGCTCTCAATCCATGCACCCATACCTATGCTATTGGACAAACGGGCATCATTCCAGATGTGGGAATTGCAGGAATCATCTTTGTCACCTTGGATGCTGTGGTATTCTCCCTAACCAAACAGTTGGGCAAAGAAACACTCAATCGCATGTGGGATGGTACCGGGGAACCTGAAGAGATTTTTGTGGATGGGCACATTGCTGTCCGTGGTACTGGAAGCATGGGAATAAAGTTTTCCCCTAAGGTTAGCGCAACGGTCAATGTTGACCTTTCCTTAATCATTGACGTGGCTCCAAACAGCAGAAACAACGAAATCGCACCCAACTCACAGGCATTGAAAGACAACAATGATAATGTAAGTACACTCACCAAGGATGATTGCTTTTTGTTGCAGCCTCCAAGTCATCAGCTCACACTTGGGATGTTTGCCCAGAGTGAAAATGTGGACTTTGAGATACTCCTCTCTGGTGAACCTGGTGTCGTTTTTGAAGTGGTGAGCAGCTTGGGTGGTAGAACAGAGACCCATACAGTTGACCTTTCGGGGGTTATCACTGTAGAGGCTGACATGTATTTGTATGTTAGTGGCGAAGATACAAAGCTCATGCTTGCTGCCAGTATCAACGTCATGCTGGGGGGCATCTGTGGTATGACCCCTCTTATGCTGCAGTCATTTGTGAGATATTTAGTGGTGACTCCGAATTAGTAGGTGCCATTCGATCCTACGCCGACAAGACTGGATTTGGAGTTCAACTGGAGCTTTCCGGCTACATTGGATTGAAAAATGACTTTGTGGAAGATGTGTTCGATTGGCCTTCTGATGGCCACAGCTTTAGCTTTGGTGTCACCCTTGGTTACAGGGGAAGCACAATCAATGCATGTGTACAGGTGGATGGGAATGAATCTTGTTTTCACAAATGTGACGCTGACAGGTGAGAGCAGGAACTTGTGTCAAAGCCGGGTGATCATGCTGGGGGCATGCTGGGGGCATGCCACTCACCCCCCCTCTTCTTTGCTGCATCTCCTCCAAGTCAATGTGATGATGATCAGTTCTGCGACGATTTGCAAGTCAGGTCACTGTGTTGGTGAGTTGACCAAACAGTCCATACTTTGTCTGCGACCCTTCAGCAGTCCATGGACCAATCTCATTCACAAAGGTCTCCCAATTTCAGGTGGATTCTGTAGTGAATGTCCCCGACTAGAGAGTGAGGAGGGGTGTACTGGTGTTGAAAAGGTGTGAACTTGAACGCACAATTTCTCTAATTTAATCAATATCTTTCCAGCTCTACTGTCTAGTAGACTGGCTATTCGTTTCATTTTCTCTTTCTCTCTCGTTCAGATTGTGAGCTCTAAGACTGAGCTCCGATATGCATACATGTACCAGGATCTTTCGATCCTCTATTTCTCGCAGTTTCATCTGCAGATAGATCTCATCGATCTATCTTCCTGAAGTGCATGGTTGGCCCTGGAGGGCTCTCCCACTTTACTAAACCTGTGGACCTTCATCCGTCCATTCATTTGCTCCGTCCCATCGCTCCTTGCATTCATCTCTTCGACCTAACTTCCTATCCTTTGTAGTTGCATCATCTAGACGACCATTGTCCTCGTTCCTCGTACACCTGGCCATCTGATGATGATCGGATCACCATCTGAATCTGAGTCACATATCCCCAATCACGAACCGTGACTGTGGATCCCTAGTCGTCTGTCCGTCATACGAAAATACCTTTCTAACACCCTTCCAGTTTCCGCGATGATGGCAGCGACCTTATAATTCTCACCAACTCAAACCAATTGCTCCTTGTCTCCAGTCAATCTTGGTGCATGTCTGTCGAGGGTCTCGACGTTGACATTCTTGGTCCCAATGTCGCTCACGTTGTCTTCCGAGCGAACAAAGTCAATCTTCACTAGGCCGTCCTGCTGCATTTGGTTTACGTAGTGCCACCTCGTATCCATGTGCCTTGTTCGACTCGCAATTGTCTTGTTCTCTGACATAAAGATAGCACCCACGTTATCGATCTTCACTTGCACAGGTAGTTCCACGTTGATCTGTAGGAACTTCAGAATCTGCGCGATGAATGGAACTTCTCGCACTGCTTCGCCACACGCGTAGAACTCAGCTTCGGAACTCGACAATGCCACAACCTTCTGTAGCTTGGACCTCCAGTGAATGAGTACACCTTCGAGAAAAATCATCATGGACGTGACTGATCTTCTGTTGTTCTTGTCTCCGGCCCAATCCGAATCCGAGAACACTTCCAACTTCCACGGTCCTTCGTTCTTCTCTGGTCTCATCAAAAGTCCATGGTTCCTTGAGTCCAACACGAACTTTACACAACGTAGCATTTCCTTGTACGCTGCTGGCGTTGCGCACCCCAAGACCTTAGCTAGTTCTCGTACCGCGTTTGAGATTTCTGGCCTTGAATGCTTGATAAGGTACATGAGCATACCTACTCCTGTTCGATATCTGCTCTGTTGTTCTTCCGCGATCCATTCGCTCTGTTCGTCTGTCTTCACTATTCCGAGTCCAGGTGTTCCCGCAGTCTTGTACTTGGGTAGCTTCTGTACCTCCTCTTCGAATGTGGTTTGAATCTTCTTGATCATGTGGGGTTGACCCACCCATGCGGCATCCTTTCGGGGATTCATCCGAATCTCACAGCTCAGGTAGTCCGTGAGTTCGTACTCGATCGTCATGTTCAAGCCTCGATCCTTAATCCCTTGAAGCACTTCCTTGATATCGTCTTCTTCTCCAATGGTAAGATTGTCATCCACGTAACATAGAATCACGCACATCTTCCCATTCTTGTTCCGCATGAAGAGGCATGGATCACTAGGACACGTAACGAATCCTAAGTCTTCCAGGACACTCGCAAACTTCAAATAGTTTTGTCGTGCGCTCTGGCAAGCCCCGTAGATGGTCTTGTCCAGTATGACAAATTCGTCGTCTTGATGTTCTAGTCCTTTTGGGCAGTCCATGTAGATGACTACGTCCATGTCTCCGTGTAGGAATGCTGTCTCAATATCGAAGATAATTGCCTTTGCTCTTCCCATCTTCTTCATTAGTAGAATCAAGATGATGCGGAAGGTGATGTCGTTAGCCACCGGACTGTAGATGCGACGGGATACAGCTTACAATTCAGCTTTACAGCTTTACAATTAGCAGGCTTATTCTAGAAAATAATCAATAACTGCTCACTTATTTGGAAATACAAACTTTACATCTCTTAGATCGTTAGATTAATCAGTTCACAATGTATTGTCGCATGGTAGCATGCGAGGTTATGAGATGTTACTCATTCTTATTCTTATATGTCTATCCCTTGTTATCATCAGTGGTAACCCCTTTTCTCACTGGATTCGCTCGCAGCAATCCCCGTGTCGATCCCCTGGATTCGCTCGAAAGCAATCTCTCTGTTCTTATTGACGATCGTAATCTCAATGAGGATCCTATCTTGGATTCGCTCGAAAGCAATCTATCTTGGATTCGCTCGGAAAGCAATCCCCTTGATTCGCTAAACAATGACTCCTATGGAAAAAAAAAGGAAAGAATCAGCCAAACAGTAGCACGATCGGATGTCCACGGCATAGGACGCCTCCACGGTAGCCTGAATCCAGATGCGGCCATACATGGCTGTGACATGTGCCCACCGGTACTCTGGGAATGAGTATGAACGCCTGCTGTAGCAAACCTACGAGACGCAATCGATCTCGTTGGCGTCCGTCATTTCTCACGCAGATCCGTCATAAAGAGCTGTTTTCCAAGATGAGCTTTGCTCCATCAACACGTGCGGTTGTCATTAAGGAAATCCCCTTGATTCTTCCTCGCGTAACTCGCAGGAATATAGTAACGTTGGTCGGAGGGCGGGGATACTTCAGAAGGAGAGGAAGACAAAAAAACCTGCTTCATGTATCCTGTGCCTACGATGTCATTAATCTGAACCGAGTCGGAAGCCACTCTACGGAGAAAGACATCAGTCGGTTCTCGTTCCTCTTGCTTGGGGGAAGGGGCACGCTGTAACTGGCTTACGAACTGGACAACGGGATGCTCTCTGGTGGTGCCTGCGGCAGTCAGTCCTCTGATCTTGCCTAGGACTTTAATTGGATCTAGTTTGATCTGCTCCCAGTCATGGAGATTCCGTAGCTTGCTCTTCATCTTTTCGGTACAATAAAACTGGTTGATGCTGGCTGCCCCATTTTGCAGGGCATTCTTGTACTTAGTTTCCTGTTTCTGCCAAGTAGATAACCTATTCTTGTAGAGAGTTAGCTTGAGCTCGTCATATACCTTCTTGCCGTCAGCATCCGTAGTATAGGACGGTTTCGTTGGCTCTGTCGGCGTCTGGTCTTGCATAGTCTCCATGGCCAGTGACGCTTTGGGGACGTCTATCCACTCCGACCTGGTTCTGAAATGAGCCACAATGTGGTTCAATGTCTCTTTAAACGGATAAAATCTGGGGTCAGCCTGTCCATTGGGATTGAACAGGTACTGGCGGCGGTTGCTTTGTCCTCTGCCTCTACCGACACCACTGTCACCGCCTCTACCGGCTCCTTGGCCTCTGCCGGAGGAGCCTCTGCCTTCTCCTCTGTTGCCACGGCCTCGTCTGTTGTTGAATCGTGTCCCATCTTGCTCTTCGATAATGGCAATTTGCTTGAGGGAATTACGGGCTGCGTGGGCTTGTACTGGGTACGGTGTACTTGAACGCTTGGTGGAGCTTGAGGGGGTTCCTCTTTCCTATTGATCAGGTAGCCTCTTATTGGTCTATATTGCCACTCCTGTGACTGCTCCAGCCTTAGACTTGGCTTGTTTGTTCCTATCTGCGCGTCAAAAATCGTGGCTCTTGTCACACGAAAAATTCCACCGTTTGGCTTGGAGTGTTCTACCGATTGACTCTATCAGTCGAGCCCTCGAAGCGCTTCTTCTGTTGTAGATACGTTGTAGTGTTTGTTAGTTAGACCTACTGGAGCAGTTCCATAGGCTCGAGAGTCTTCTTTCTTGAGTTTCAGCTGTCGGCGCTTGGTTGGGACTTGTTATTCCCGGCTCACAAGAGGTCGGTCACTCGAACAGTCGTTTCTTGCTCAATTTTCGGAGGTGAGAGCTTGCACTTGTCATGGCATAGGCGGCAAATAGGTCCTCTTTTCGATCCTGGTATGCGGCCGTAGCTGTATCTCTCTTGTTTCGGTCGTCGTGTTCGTTCGGCGCGATCGTCTTTTGCTCTGTAGGTGGGTACCCAAAACACGCGATCGGCGATTACTCCTTCAATTCTTGTCGTATGACCTTTGTTCAAGCATCAATATGGACCGGCTAGCTGTGTTCTCGACGCTGATGTGCTTGGTTTGCTCTGAATCGGTTGACAAGTCGATCGGCCGATGCTTCGAGAGCTTGGAATGAGCGAAAATGTGAGGCGAAATTTCTCTGTTAGCTCTGTTGTTTTGCCTTTACAGTGAGGCTTCAGCGCACCTCTGGTCAATACCTTACCAATTCCTCTCAGTTCTCTCTCACTATTACAATACCTATTCCCATGGACAAACTCAATACAAACTTTCTTTCTGCTCAGTGTTGGGTAAGGCAACACTGTAGCTACTGGCTAATATCAAGCTAATTTGTTGATTTGGGCAGACTGAGCAAAAAGAATGATTTTCTGCCAGGTTGCTCTGAAATCTGGATTCTGAGAATGCCAGTTTCTTAAATTCTACGTGGTACGGTCTTTT